TGTGTTAAACTTCTAATGTTATTTTTAAAGCGAAATTACAATATATAAATACATACAGATGTATGTGTATGGATTTTTGTTAAATGACTGATATTGAGACACACACATAGGTACTATATACATATTTATAGGTACATAAGCCTAGCAATGTTTTTTTGTTTAATATATTTCGCACTTATTGGGGGGGTTCATTTTTCTGCCTTCTGTGCAGTTAAATTCCTCCGCGAATTTTCCGTAGTTCGAGAGAGGTCCAATTACTCTAAACTCGCCTGGCACATGCTGGTCGGTTGATGTTTGGAGATGCTTGACTTGAGGATGGACATCATTGCACCAAATTTGTGCGAAGCTAATGAAGAACAATTGTTTATAGTTGTAGGGGAATTTAGGTAGGGTTTCCATGTCAACGCTATCCCCAGCACGATCTGCATCTTCATACCAACGCAGATACGCATCGTATGCCAACCGCATACCACCATTGTCTGCAATATTTTCTGATTGCGATACGCTCTTCGGTAGTGCGCGTCCACCATACTCGTACTTACTATATTGATTGCTGAAGCACTCGGTGCGATCAAGAAAAATCTCTGTGGATCTTTCGTCCCACCAGTCGCGACTATTGCCGTCCTTGTCGAAGCGACGTCCGGTGTCGTCGAACGCATGTATAAGTTCGTGCCCTACTAGCGCGCCTAAAGTACCGAATTTGACTGCTGTTGGATAATAGTCACCCCACATAATATAGGGCTGCAGAATCGACACCGGTACTTTAATGACATTTTCAATTAGGATATTAGCCGGCGTGTAGGATAGTATTTCGCCAGCTTCTATGGGTCTTGGCTTTTCATGTAATTTTGCGATAGATCTTTTAGTATCCAACTCTAATAAAGCAAAAACATTTGCTAGATAATCGTGTTTATTAGTAATCAATGATCCGAATTCTTCGGTAAAATCATGATCTGAGTATGAATTAATTTCCATTCGAAGGGCATCGAGTTTTTCAAGTGCATATTTACGGGTCGGTTCTGATATCCAGGTTAGGTCATCTGAAAGTAACTTGATTTTGAATGTTTCTTTTAGTTTATTCCACATATACTCGACATCTCGTTCAGTTTTACCGGTACTATATCTACGATAGACCATATTATCAACATTCTTAGCAAAATATGACTTGGTCTTCTCAATGCAAGTTTTCTTCTGCCTCTTTGTCGTCTTATCGATATCCAGCATGTAATCGTTGATGAATGTATAGAAAATATAATTAGCTAGTGTTGCTTTTGGTGTCAAGGGAATAATTTTCAACAAGTTCTCCTGATATGATTCAGCATACTCATATACTTTGTCTTTAACTATTTCTCCCAATGTTATATTCATCAGCTTTTTAATGTCTATTACTGTGCCGTATTTGGCTTGCAAGTTATCAATAGTTGTGAGTTTGGATAACTCATCTAAACTCTGACCGAGTGTGTCATCAATTAAACCTCGCGCTAAATTTACCTCGAAGTCCACAATTTCATTTGCAGTCTTCGTAGCCAAATGTGTATCTATTCCCAAAAATTTCTCGAGCTCTTTGCGAATTTTACTTTTGTAACTATCTCTATACATAGCTGTTGAATTATCCAAATACATAACACGACTTTCTAAAGGCATTTCCGCTTGACCAATGTAAATTCTATTGATGCTATTGTCTTTAAAATCAGCCATTATATCCATGCCTATGATGATGTCTTTGCCATATTTGTGAGCAATTTTTGCGACTGTCTCCACCCAATCGAATTTATCCGCATTCCAATTTGCTCCGCTGAGCGCAGGCATTTCACCAAACTCTGCAATAGTGCGGATTAAGTCTTGTTTGAGGTTTTCTTTCTTCTGAACTAAATTCTCACAGGACTCAAAGAAGTCCTTTACTTTATTGTCGATGTCGGT